CTTGAGCCCAGGAGTTTGAGGTTGCTGTGAGCTAGGCTGACACCATGGCACTCTAGCCCAGACAACAGAGCGGGACTCTATTTCAAAAAAAAACAACAACAAAAAAAAACCAAATCTCCATCGGTCATACTGCTTAGCACTTGGGTTTTTTGGTATAGGCCTTGTGAAATCTTAGCAATCAAAGATAAAGGAATTCCTGCTGGGAAAGATAGTAAATGAAATTTTTAATTAATGTGATCATATACTACAGAGATTTTATGCTCTGAAAGTAGGTAACCACTATTGTAGTGCTATTTTGTGAGTAATACTTAAGAGAACTCATGTATTCTTCTACTTTGGACCTTATATAATATTCTCCAGGCCAAAACTCATTATAAGATGGTACCAGAAGCCCTTCCTCTTGACCTCTATTTATTTGAAATGATCACTTTCCTAAAAAGTGGCTTTCAGTTAGCGCTGCTTATTTGAGGGTCTTGGAAAGTACAAGAAAAAAAGGATATTTAATGGGGCCCCCAACCTGTAATCTAATACCAAGTTCTGCATCTACTGTATGGTCAGTGTTAGGTGCTATGTAGGGACTGGTGGTTTTCAAGCTTTTTTGATGATAGATCCTTTTTCGAATGAAATCATGCACAGAGTTGTCGTATTTACCAAAAAATCAAATTTTTGTTAGAATAAACTTATTTTATGTTTGATTATACCATTTACTTTTTATAAATGCATTTTCTTACTGGAAACCATAGGCAGAGTACTTAATCTTCTTAAGTTTTAATCTTTAAAATAGAGATAATTGCATTTAACCTTGTAATGGTATTGTGAGGATTAAATGTGAAAATACAGGTAATGCATTGCCTAGCACATAGTAAATATTTGGTCAGATTTAGCACCAGTGACATTTTGGGCTGAATGATTTAAAAAAAAAAAAAAAAGATTTACCACCAAATACAGGGCCTGGCACATAATATGTACCAGATAATTATTTGTTGAGTAAATGATATGCTAATAATCATCAGTGAAAACATTGAGACTTTTTGATAAACCCCAAAATTTGGGATAGTTGTAATACTCCAGTAATTGAAGATCATTGAACTTGGATTAGGAAGTGCTAGGTTCTGATTCTTGCTTTACTGTGCCTAGAAGTATGACTTTGAATAATTAACTTACATAAGCTTTTGGGGCCTCAGTTTCCTTATCTGTACAGTAGGGGCGTTGAAGTAGATGGTCTTAATTATCATTTCAATAATACGGTTCTCTGGCTCTGGTACATTCTAGATTTCTTCCTGAGTTGTTGTCATAATTCTTATAGATAGTTAATTTTGGGTGATGAGGCATATGGGAATTAGGCTAAGAACTCAATGTCTAATTCTGGCAAGTTCTTGCTTTACTGTGATGTTAGGCAACTAGTTTAACTGGTTTAGCATCTTCCTTTGTTAACATGATGATAATTATTTTGCCCTGCTTTATAGTATTGTAATAAATAAGTACTGTGTAAATACTAATTACTAGTAATTCTCAACTGAGTTATTTAATCTGGTGAGATGAAAAGGGCTGTGGAATTTCAGGATGTTTGTCAGTGATCAGATTCTATGATTAGTAGGTATTTTTAGATGATAATTAAAGAAGACTGGTAAAATGAGACCAAGAAGCTGAAAGGTCTTCCTTACAGGTTTCAAAATTGAAAACCTTTTTAAATTGTCTTACTATATGAATAAATCTTTTTAAATGTAAACCATTTCAGTAAAATGCATGAGTCTCTAAATGCATCAGTTTTAAATAGGTGTATCTGAATCGTCTCTCTTAAGATAAAAACAGTTCTATAATTATGTCCTGCCTAACATTGTTGGGAAAAATACGTAAAAGAAGCAATGAAAAAAGTTAATGGCATACTGTTTTCTTTTGCTGTTTTATAGTATATTATGTACCAGTTCATAATGAAGCCTTTAGTAATTATGGTATGATAGACTGTAATAGTTTGGGGAAAAATTAGATCCGTGCCTCACATACGTAATTTGCTGGAGATAGTTTTTGTGTCTTTTTACCTAGATTGGCAAGAATGCAAGGAAGTGGGCAGGCATATAGCTTGGTGACAGGTGTGTAAATTATTACAACTTTTCTGGAAGGCAGTTTGGCAATATATAACAAAGACCTAGAATTGCCCTAGCAATTTTGTTTCTAGGAATTTATCCAAAAAAAATTATGTGCAAAAATAACTACAAAGATGTTTATTGTAGCACTGTTTATGATAGTGGCAGATACCTCAGTGTCTGAACAGTTAAAGATTGGTTGAGTGTGTCATGACATAACTGCAATAGAATGTGACACAGTCATTGAAGTTGTTATAGGTGGGTTTTTTTTTTTTAAGAAATGGAAAAATATAGAAAAGTACAAAGACATAGACCCATATTTCTATATATAGAATTAACCTTCTCTTAATTGTTAACATTGATGATCGAATTTGTTTCCAAACTGAAGGACTGTTTGATTCACCTTGCCCACTCCCTTCTTCTCCCCTTCCCCAGAAGTAACCACCATCATAGACCTCGTACAGCCTTCCAGTTTATTTTAAATAAATGTGTGTTACAGTATTTTGTGTTTTTTGACCTTTTATTCATATTATCATGTTTGTTATATAATATTTTTCATTCAATATTAGGTTTTTAAATTTCTTTCATGTTGAAATATATATAATTCTCCTAGATCATTGTGCTAGGTTGAAAAATATATATATACATTCATTTTAACAGCTATGTAGTAATCCATTGTATGAATATATTATTATTTCCCTTTTGTTACAGTTTTGGGTTATTTTCTATTTTTTACTGTTACATATAGTGCTAAAGTTAACAGTCTTATATTTGTCTGTGTCTACACATATGCACATATCTCCCTAGGGTCAGGGTGCCACTGCTTATCAATTTCACTTATAGGTATGTGAACTGTTTTTCTAGTTGCTCTCAAAGTTGGAGGGTTGTGATCTCATCTGAGACTTGGGACCTCTTTCCAAGCTGACTTGTTGACAGAATTCAATTCTTGGAGGTGGTAGGATGAGATATCCACTTTCCTGCTTACTGGCTCTTGGCTGGAGGGTCACACTCAATTTCCTAGGGGCTGCTCTCAAGTCCTAACCTCATGGCCTTCTCACAACATGGTTGCTTGCTTCTTCAAAGCCATCAGGAGAAGCTTATACAGTCAGCCCTCCATAGCCATACGTTCTGCATCCAGAGGTTCAACCAACCTTAGATTGAAAATATTTGGAAATTTAGGAGGCTGAGGCGTGGAGGATTGCTTGAGACCAGGAATTCGAGACCAGTCAGAACAAGAGCGAGACCCCATCTCTACAAAAAAAGATTGGAAAATTAGCCATGTGTAGTGGCACATGCCTATAGTCCCAGCTACTTGGGAGTCTGAGGCAGGAGGATTGCTTGAGCTCAGGAGTTTGAGGTTGCAGTGAGCTAGGCTGACACCACTGCCCTCTAGATAGGGTGACAGAAGCAAGACCCTGTGTCAAAAAAAAAAAAAAATCAGAATAAAAAACGAATAACTATAGAGCATTTACATTGTGTTAGGTGTTAGAAGTTGTCTGGAGACGATTTAAAGTATACAAATGGATGTGCATAGGTTATATGCAAATACTGTGCCAGTTTATATAAGGGACTTGGGCTTCCATGGATTTTGGTATCCTCAGGGGTCCTAGAACCAACACCTTTCGGATACTGAGAAACGACTATATAAGTCAAATGCAAAAACAGGAGTGACTATCCCATCATATTCACAGGTTCTGCTTACATTTGGGGGAAGGGGGAAGTATTATACAGGGTATGTGTAACAGGGGCAAGAGTCTTGAGAATTCTGCCCACCACAACCCCAACTTCACACGGTATGTACAAATTAATTTAAAATGAATCAGAACCCTGAACATAAAAACTAAAACCAAAAAACTTATTAAAGAAAGCATAGGAGAATATTGTCATGACATGGGAATAGGTAAAGGTTTCTTAGGTCACAGAATGCACTAACCATAAAATTAAAAATTGATAAGTTAGACTTCATCAAAATAAAAACTTTTACTCATTAAAAGACACCATTAATAAATAATCAGGCCACTGACTGGGAGAAAATATTTGCAAAATATGTATCTGATGGACTAGTATCCTAGATGAAGTATAAACTACATTTCAACAATAAAAGAGCAAACAACCCAATAAAAGTATTTGGGCAGGAAAGATCCTGACACTTCACAAAAGAAGATGTACAAGTGATGAATAATCCAATGAAAATGTGTTCAACATCTGGAGTCTTCACATGATTAAAATTAACATCACCACCCATCCACCCAAATGATTAAAATTAAAGACTGATGACACCTAATGTAGGTGAGGTTGTCGATGGAGTAACTGGAACTCTCGTCAACTGTTGGTAAAAATGTAAGATTGTACAAATACTTTGGAGAAACGTTGAGCAGTTTATTAGAAAACT